TCGCAAACTTGGTATGTATTATATCTACCATACTTTTGCACATAGAAAACAACGTCTGCAAACATTGTGATTGTATGCCATTATCGTTATCATACTTTGTACTATAGGCCTGTGGCCTCTTCCGTACTGGAATAAAGACAGAGAATATGGCTTAATGTTAAAATTACTTTATAATTATGAGGGTGTAAATGTGGCTTAATGTTAAACATACTGACTGTTAGTGTGAGTGTGACTTAATATGACATGACTGAAGGTGAGTGTGAGTGTGACGTAATATGACATGACTGAAGGTGAGTTTGATGATTGAATGTGAAAATGACTTAATGAGGGTGTGACTGTGGCTTAATGTTAAAAATACTTTATGTGGGTGTATGGTGGGGATCTGTAAATAATCGAGTCTGGACCAGACAATCCAGTGATCAACAGCATGAGCATCGATGTAACTGGGATACGATGGCATGTGTCAAACAAATCAGCGAGCCTGACCAACCGATTCCGTTAGTTGCCTCTTACGACAAGTATGGGTTACTGAAGATCAATTCTAACCCGGATCATCACGGGTCTCAGCAATAAGGACTACGCCTGAAACAAACACGAAGATCTCGTGTTCGCTAAACTGCAAGCCACTCAGGACGACCGAATGAGCACAATACTAGGAAATGTTGTATGTTATGCAGTTGAACCAGGATAAATGCATTCTTCTCAACAAACATCCTTTGTTTCACCATAATCTCCGCCGCATATCAATTTCCGTTCCACGTTCCAAAGTGCACCATTCTCTTCCGGATTCCTAACATGAAAATGCGAATACCAGTGTTTTACCACTACTCTTTAGTTGGTCATGGGCAGTAGATGTCAACTTGACATATGCGTGACATTTAGTTTTCCGCCGATTTTATCAATATTTCAGCAACATCACGGCGGGGACACAAGAAATGGGCTTCAAGCACTGTATTTCATGTGGGAAATCGAACCCGGGTTTTTGACGCGACGAACGAACGCTTTAACCACTACGCTACCCAACCGCCCCTACGCGACACATGCGCTATACTCGAATTAACATTAGTGAAATTATTGGAAATCGAGTGAGGAAATTGTCAATAGGCACCAAGGATATGACTGTACTGCATTTCAGTTCAAATTGGCGGTGGGATAGCCAAGTTGATGCAGCGTTCCATCTTCACGCCCAAGGTTCAAGTTCGATTCTCCACACGAATTCAATTTGTGAAGCCTACATCAGGCCACTTGTTGTGAGATTACTGCAATATTACTAAAAGCGGTATAAATTCATCTCCACTCAAAGGCGTGGCTATAACAGCATGTTAAGACCGCCTAGGTATTTGCCACTTCTGTGACCTTCAGACATGTTCCATTAGTTGAAAATATTATCATAGAATAACGTCCTGCCAAAAAAATGCTCACTACAAATTCTATATTTGCTCTGTTCAACAAATAATATTGATCTATAAACACATAGCATTTAGGAACGATGAAAGTATCCTTTCAAGAAGCAAAAAGATGGTTCACAATGCATTTCAACATTCCCGCACTAACAGAAGTTAAATTAAATATTTGCAAATAGTCAAAATGGCAACGTATATCTTAGAGAGTTATACGCCCTTGCCATCCATGGGGTGTCATCTTTACAAATTCAGTCTCAAATGGAATAGACAGCTTGGTGCCTGTACTGAGATCGGGTGTGTCGGTAATGTTTATCTGCTTTATCTTACAACCAGTTAAATGTCTTTACAGAATAAAACCCATATTTTGAGGTATGTAAAATGTTTGAGTTGGTTTGTAAAGAGCCAGGAATATTGTCAGCTTGTACTTTTATTGCATGTTTTACTATTTTTAATCTGGCATCTGGTATTCAGTAGTGTTCAAATTGAGTGTGCATCTGTTATACACTAGTGTTTAAATTGAACGTGCATCAGGTATACACTAGAATTCAAATTGAACGTACCTGATTTTCAATATAGTTCAAATTGAACGTGTATCTGATATATTTAATAGCATCAAATTGAACGTGCATCTGGTATTCAATAGTGTTCAAATTGAACGTGTACCTGAGCTGGTTTTCAATAGTGTTCAAATTGAACGTGTATCTGATATCTTTAATAGTATCAAATTGAACGTCCATCTGGAATTCAACAGTATTCAAATTGAACGTGTACCTGGCATACAATAGTGTTTAAATTGAACGTGCATCTGGTATACAATAGAATTTAAAGTGAATGTGTACCTGGTTTTCAATTGTGTGTAAATTGAACGTGTATCTGATATCTTTAACAGCATCAAATTGAACGTGCATCGGGTATTCAATAGTGTTCAAATTGAACGTGTACCTGGTATACAATAGAATTTAAAGTGAATGTGTACCTGGTTTTCAATTGTGTATAAATTGAACGTGTATCTGATATCTTTAACAGCATCAAATTGAACGTGCATCTGGTATTCAATAGTGTTCAAATTGAACGTACATTTGGTATGCAATAGTGTTGAAATTGAACGTGTACCTGGTATCTTTGATAGTATTAAATTGAACATGCATCTGGTATTCAATAGTGTTCAAATTGAGTGTGCATCTGTCATACACTAGTGTTTAAAACGAACGTGCATCTGGCATACAATAGAATTCAAATTGAAAGTGTACCTGGTATTCAATAGTGTTCAGATTGAACGTTCATCTGGTATACAATAGTGTTCAATAGTGTTCAGAATTCAAATTGAACGTTCATCTGGTATACAATAGTGTTCAAATTGACTGTGCATCTGTCATACACTAGTGTTCAAATTGAACGTGCATCTGGTATACAATAGAATTCAAATTGAGCGTGTATCTGATATCTTTAATAGTAATTATGAAATTGAACGTGCACCTGGTATTCTACAGTATTCAAACTGAACGTGTACCTGGTATTCAATAGTGTTCAAATTGAACGTTCATCTGGTATACAATAGTGTTCAAAGTGAACATGCGCCTGGTTATACTATAATATTCGTACAATAATCTTTACAAAACAATAAGGCCCATCACTTCTAAAACACCATTACGCGATATGGATCGTTTACTAAAATTTCTATACTTCAGTCGTTGTCGAAGTCTTAAAATCATATTGCAAAACAGGGTTCTCGTTTCTGTATAATATTTATTGCAACTATATTCCGGTTGCAAATAATGAGTTTGAGCAGCTCCCGTGTTTTGTTCTATTAGTATTCTTGAATAAGTAAGCCGATTAAAGATATAAAATAGCTGGGGATGAAATGATATGTGAGCTTTCTAATAGTTAAGGATGTTTAAATATCCTGTTCAGCACATGAAAGAGTACCCCCCATCAACTTAGTTATTCTAGATCCGTTTAGAAAGTGCATAACATGACTGGCCGAACCAAACACCCCCTCTCCCCAGTTTCCTGCTTTGTTGAGAAGAACGATGAAGGGACGTGATATATGTAGCAAGCAATCTTAAACCAGAACACAGTGAAGTATTAGTTGCAAGGTACAAGGGTCCAGCATATGGAGAATGAAGGTTGCGCTACATTACCATAGGCTCCAGCATACAGGTCGAGAAGACTGAACGTCATCAGTTTAGGATCCCGTATAACAACAGTGAAGACTGAACTACACCACACTAGGGTCCAGTATACCATCAGTCAAGTCTGAACGACGTCACAAAAGGGTCCAGCATACCAACAGTCAAGTCTAAACGACGTCACACTAGGGTCCAGTATACCGACAGTCAAGTCTGAACGACGTCACACTGGGGTCCAGTATACCGACAGTCAAGTCTGAACGACGTCACATTAGGGTCCAGCAGACCCACAGTCAAGTCTGAACGACGTCACACTAGGGTCCAGCATACCCACAGTCAAGTCTGAACGACGTCACACTCGCATCCAGCATACCCACAGTCAAGTCTGAACGACGTCACACTAGGGTCCAGTATACCGACAGTCAAGTCTGAACGACGTCACACTCGGGTCCAGTATACCGACAGTCAAGTCTGAACGACGTCACACTAGGGTCCAGCATACCCACAGTCAAGTCTGAACGACGTCACACTAGGGTCCAGTATACCGACAGTCAAGTCTGAACGACGTCACACTAGGGTCCAGCATACCCACAGTCAAGTCTGAACGACGTCACACTAGGGTCCAGTATACCCACAGTCAAGTCTGAACGACGTCACACTAGGGTCCAGCATACCCACAGTCAAGTCTGAACGACGTCACACTAGGGTCCAGCATACCCACAGTCAAGTCTGAACGACGTCACACTAGGGTCCAGCATACCACAGTCAAGTCTGAACGACGTCACACTAGGGTCCAGTATACCGACAGTCAAGTCTGAACGACGTCACACTAGGGTCCAGCATACCAACAGTCAAGTCTGAACGACGTCACACTAGGGTCCAGCATACCCACAGTCAAGTCTGAACGACGTCACACTAGGGTCCAGCATACCGACAGTCAAGTCTGAACGACGTCACACTAGGGTCCAGTATACCGACAGTCAAGTCTGAACGACGTCACACTCGGGTCCAGTATACCGACAGTCAAGTCTGAACGACGTCACACTAGGGTCCAGCATACCCACACTAAAGCCTGAACGACGTCACACTAGGGTCCAGCATACCATCAGTCAAGTCTGAACGACGTCACACTCGGATCCAGCATACCCACACTAAAGTCTGAACGACGTCACACTAGGGTCCAGGATACCAACAGTCAAGTCTGAACGACGTCACACTAGGGTCCAGCATACCCACAGTCAAGTCTGAACGACGTCACACTAGGGTCCAGCATACCCACAGTCAAGTCTGAACGAAGTCACACTCGGGTCCAGCATACCAACAACCAAGTCTAAAGTACGTCACACTAGGGTACAGCATACCAACAGTTAAGTCTAAACTGCGCCACACTAGCCTGAACTACACCGCCGCAGGATCCACCTTACCGTGGTCAAGCATACCACCAGAGGATCCAGTATACCGGCAGTTTAGAGTGAACCACTCTATGGATTCCAACAAGTCGACAGAGAAAGCTGTGTTCGGTGAGTTGAAGTTTTACTACCGATTCCGTGAGTGAGTGAGTGAGTGAGTGAGTGAGTGAGTGAGTGAGTGAGTGAGTGAGTGAGTGAGTGAGTGAGTGAGTGAGTTTAATTTTACATGGCATTTAACAATATTCCAGCAATATCACGACGGGGACAAATGGGTTTCAACAACATTCATAGATTCCAATACTGTAATCACGATGGACCCAACTGCACAGTTCATTTCCAACACTTACTTTCACGCCTATCAACATGAGAGCCAACACCAGATAATATGCAAAGATAACCCTAACTATAACATTTGTGTATGATAGTCGTAATACTAACGTATCCAAATGGTAGATCCCGACTAACAAACACATTCACGACCACAAAATCAATTATAACTTACAAAATTCACGCAAAGAGACAGTATGCCATCGAGAGCCTTTTTAAAAAGAAAACCCCAACATATTCTGGAATTAAAAGGCACTCAAGCCTCATGCGAACATATTCCGATTTGTAATCGATAATACGTTAGGCGTAACACTATGTGACACTCATGTAGTCTTAGGGAAAGCATGACTTATGTCAGTCTTATCTCACACATTCCACGTTACTGAATACCTGAAATATTCCTCTCTCAGTTTATGGATTTTAATTGCATGTCTTATTTGTCAAAGGAGAAAACGAACTCTATGACGTATTTGTTGACTTTAGAAACGCATTCGTCTCTGCGAATCGTATTAATCTCTTGAATTATTTGTAATGATATGGTATACCTAGATAAAATGTTCAGAGAACTTTAAGCCTCTATACTCCGGTGGAAGTGTCTGTAAGATGCAATGAGGGTGTATGTAGTGAACATTTTGACTATCCTGTTGGTTTAAAGCAAGGTTGTATACTAAGCCCCCTTTTTTCAACTTTATAAAATAATATTAATGAAAATATTTACAACGCGCCTTTTCCAGGCTAGATATCCTGCTCAAAGCGTAAAACCTTATCATTATTACTCTGGAATTATCAATGAATCATTTATGGAAATATCAGACAATTGAAAATCTGACGATTATTCTCTAATGTACTTGAGAATAGTATTGGCGATGTTTTCAGATGATATAACAATTATACTGGTATCTGACGTAGTATCTGAGTAACAAAACATAATATTTCAGAATAGCATGTGGATGTATGAGGTTTAATAGTAAATCTAGACAAAAATTAATTCTCTCTTCAAACGATGTAAGGTTACCGAAAGAAATATAGGTTATCACGCGAGTGTAATTAATGTAGAATTGTTAAAAATGTGCAATAGATTAGAACCTTTTTCTCTTCAAACGATGTAAGGTTACCGAAAGAAATATAGGTTATCACGCGAGTGTAATTAATGTAGAAATGTTAAAAATGTGCAATAGATTTAGAACTTTTCTCTCTTCAAACGATGTAAGGTTACCGAAAGAAATATAGGTTATCACGCGAGTGTAATAAATGTAGAAATGTTAAAAATGTGCAATAGATTTAGAACTTTTCTCTCTTCAAACGATGTAAGGTTACCGAAAGAACTATAGGTTATCACGCGAGTGTAATAAATGTAGAAATGTTAAAAATGTGCAATAGATTTAGAACTTTTCTCTCTTCAAACGATGTAAGGTTACCGAAAGAACTATAGGTTATCACGCGCGTGTAATAATTAATGTAGAAATGTTAAAAATGTGCAATAGATTTAGAACTTTTCTCTCTTCAAACGATGTAAGGTTACCGAAAGAAATATAGGTGTGTGTTTTGGGTTGGTTAATATCCGGCATTAGGAATGAACATTGTATTCAGCGAGCCTTGAATATATAGTGTTTATTCCTAATGCAGGATATTAATCAACCCAAAACACACGAGTGTGATAACCTATATATTCATCATACAATGTCATTACTTTATAATTTAAATAAAATACTTTTTCAATTGCCACAAATCATGTAACTTAACTTTGTGGAATGTGCAGATATTTATGACGTCACTAATATGTGCGTAGTAATACGTTACGTCACAAGCTCGGTGACACAATTGTTTACTGATCACTCAATTGACTGCGTTAGGTCATTTAGTTCCCAGTAAGGTTTATGTTAAAACACGTATTGTCGTAGCACGTATTGTCGTCAACAAACCTTAGCTTACGTTTGAAAAATAGCAACAAAATTGTGTGGAACTTCAGAAACCTTCAAGTAACCTTTTGAACAACAAATACATTTTAATGTTCGCGAGACGCTGACACTGACTCTAGTGACAGTCGGTCGGGGAACTGGCATTGGTGTCTTCGTAAGCCTTCGTAATCAACGCCATCTATCACTACCAAACATGAATTTTCTTGGATAAAAGCGCTGATAATACCCTAACCACGGCCGTCAATCATAGTGGTTTACACTGTGAAAGTAGTCCCTATAATTTACATATGACCTCTCTAATTTGCATCGATATCCGTATATGACCCCAAAGGATACCGAAAATATAGGTTGGCTTTATCCTGCCGAGAACGCTATCCATTGTATGATAAATTTGAATATATCTATCTATAACATTTATTGAATGAGAGAAAGTTTTCCAAATACCAGGGTCAGTGCGGTAGCGTAGTGGTTAAAGCGTTCGCTCGTCACACTGAAGACCCGGGTTCAGATTTCTGGTGTCCCCCGCCCTAATATTGATGGAATATCGCTAGAACCATACTCACTCCAAATACCAATAATACGTTTGTGTAAATTACGTAAAACGTCATGTAGCGAATACGTATATAAGCACATTATCTATGTATGAGCCTAATTCCTTTGTTAAAATTTAATTAAAAATAGTACAGCATGCACTAAAATACAAAAGTACAAATTTAATAATGGACGTTTAAAAAGATAAACCCCACTTAACGCCATCAGCAAAAAAATCAGGAAGCACATTCAGCCTGCTCTACATGGTTGTTCTCACCAGCCTTTTAAATCTACATCATTCTTAATAATATTTACGTGCAAAACAAGAGATCATTACAATCGTAAATGAGTTCCTTACTTATAAAAGCATGTACATACAATAACTGGCCAAGAGAACAATATTTGGTGTCATCGTGCTGAACTTGCAATGTTTTCTGATGCTTGGTTTAAACGAGTACCCACGAGATGATTCATGCTATTAAAACAAAACCAACTTGCATTCACAAACACAACATGCTTGAAGCTAAACCTGCAAAAATCGGGTGACAAACGAAGAACATCAGTGATCACATCTTACTGACACGCCGAAAATTCCAACAATTTTGCCCATGTTGTGAATGACGTCAAACGCGGAAGTCACTCTGAACTGACCCCCGTAAACGACTGAAGAAAAGGGTTGAGCACCATTGGTACAAATATGCAATCTGAAGTAGAAGCTGTAATTGACAAATCCGGGTGTTTAATATCACAAGAGCTAAATCCTGGTATTTAAGATTATATCATGCTTAATTTCCAAGAATGTATATACTTGAGATAAATGTTGCTGATGTGGAAATTTACAAATTGAGTATTCATTAGCAAGCAGGATCATGTCATCAACATGTTTCCGATTAACACTACAGAACGGATGAGTGAGTGAGCTGCATTTAAGTGAGTGAGTGAGTGTGGTTTTACGCCGCTTTTAGCAATATTCCAGCAATATCACGGCGGGGAACACCAGAAATGGGCTCCACACATGGTGCCCATGTGGGGAATCGAACCCGGGCCTTCGGCGTGACGAGCGGACGCTTTGACCACTAGGCCACCCCACCGCCCCGAGCTGCATTTAAACATACCTTGAACAGCAGTGAACGTATAAAAAAGAACGTGATATCCGTTGCTTCTAAACGGTCAACGGTTATGTGTACAAAACTGCAGTTTTTACGGACCCCTTATACGGATGAAATATGAAGTACCTATGGGTACAAACTTATATTCTCTTTGCCTACAAAACTTATTAATCAATGGGTACTGCACTGATCACTCTATGTGCACTAGAATGGCACATGTATGTATAGTATAATGACACCTCTATATGCAACACACTGACACCTGTATGTGTAGCACACTGACACATGTATGTGTAGCACAATGACACCGGTATGTGCAACACAATGACACATCTATGTGCAACACAATGACATCTCAATGTGTAGCACAATAACACCTCTATGTGCAACACAATGACACCTCTATGTGCAACACACTGACACCTGTATGAATAGCACACTGACACCGTATGTGTAGCACACTGACACCTGTATGTGTAGCACAATGACACCTGTATGTGCAACACAGTGACACCTCTATATGCAACACAATGACATCTCTATGTGCAACACACTGACACCTGTATGTGCAACACACTGACACCTGTATATGTAGCACACTGGCACCTGTATGTGTAGCACACTGACACCTGTATGTGTAGCACACTGACACCTGTATGTGTAGCACACTGACACCTGTATGTGTAGCACACTGACACCTGTATGTGTAGCACACTGACACCTGTATGTGTAGCACACTGACACCTGTATCTGTAGCACACTGGCACTTGTATATGTAGTACAATGATACATCTATGTGCGACACACTGTCACCTGCATGTGTAGCATAATGACATATGTATGTGCAACACAATGACAGCTCTTTATGTAACACGCTGACCTTCTATGTGTCACAGTGATTTCTTTGTGCGCAACACCATGAGATCTCTAGGTGTAATGCATTGACACCTCTATGGGTAACACAATGACACATGTATGTGTAACACAATTGTTACGTTGAGGTTGTCACCCAACTATGGTTTTCATCATATCCCAGGAGGGGAAAGATTGTTACGTTGAGGTTGTCACCCAACTATGGTTTTCTCATGCGTGTTTTTTATGCGTGAAGATAATTTAATGTTTTTTTACCATATTGATCTTAACATAATTGCCAATGTCCTAATATTTCAAAATCATACTTTTGAGTTTCTTAAATGAATTCACAAGGGTCCAAAAATGCCCCAAA